AGGGCGTGATTGGGTGAGGGTTGACGATGCAGTTGCATGGTGTTCTGCCCCTCCGTGCCCCTCTGATGTGCTCCGTTACCCCCAGGATCCCCAAATCCGGGGTGGGCCACTAAGCTGGAAGAGTCTGGAGAAGGGGGCACTGGGGGTGGTCATGATGGTGGGGTGGGGCCGCCTAGCAGAGGTCATCTGCCCAGCGCCTGAGCCGAGTATCCCAGCGAGAGACAAGACACAGACTTTGTGTATGTACTCCGTTCTCCGCAAGGTGTAAGGTCCCTTTTATGATCCGGGTTGCCTCTGGTGTTGTGCGTCTGCTGCTGCATCTGTGATTGCGTCTGTTATTGCGTCTGTGAGAGCATCTGTGGTTTTTGTAAGGTACCTAGGTATTCAAAGACGAGGAGTTGCTGAGGTAAGGAAGATCCAGATCGACCAATCGGTTACCGCTGAATGGCCTATTACGTCTGGCTGTGACGCAGAGACGTTGGCACGTGGACCCCTGAGGGCGGTATGCAGAATGCTCCCCGTCGCCCCGCCTGCTCTTCTGCTTCAGGGCGGCACGGCGGGAATCAGGACGGTCGGGTCAGCAATAATTGCACTGGTTATTGACATGAGCCCCCCAGGCCATCCATTGTGCTGCTGTGTGGGGTCTGCAGCGACTGTCATCACCGTCCACTTTTTTTTTTTTTCCCTCTGAGACTTGCCAGGTTCTCCACGTTCCATTCCCGGCCACTGACGGCCGAACGTTGTCACTGGGCCACTTCTTTCCCTCGTCTCCAAACCAAACTCGACGTTGCCAAGTTTCCAATTCCACCTCACTTTGGGCACCTAATACATCCGCTCTTCTTTCTTCACGACACTTCCTCCCTTCCACTCCCGATCCTCTCTACCAACACATCCTCTCTTCCTTTTGCCTTCAGCCTCGCTCTGCTGTTCTCTTTGCTCTTTCTCTCTCTCTCTTCTGCCTCACTCAGTCACCGAGACAAGATCAAGTAACGTCCAGTCCGTCGCTTCATCTTGGTCCACTCGCCTCCAAGTTCCAACCACTCTACTCGGCATCTGACCAACCATCTCGTCTCGCTTGCGCCCGCCTGTTCCTCTTTACCCTTCTTGTCATCACCTACTACCAAGGAGGGTTACCCTCTCTCTATACCTACTGGTACTCCCGAGTCCTTCAACGCCTCTTCTACCCCCACCGAACAGTAACGACTCTTTCGACTCCTCCGACAAGTCCAACACCCCCCTTCCAAACAGGTTGTCCGGTCATCTGCGCTCCATTTCGGTGATCTGCACACTGTTCCCTGTCTGCCTGAGCTTGTGTCACCCAAAGATTACCATAATCACCAAAACAGTATCATGGGAATCATCTGACAGCCGCAACGCCTACTTTCATACCCTTTGTCTCATTACTCACTGAGACCAAAGCACCGTCACTGGCTTCCTATACGAACTTCTCCCCGACGACGCTTGCCTGACTTTCCAGCCTTAAGAAACGGCATCTTGACCAGAACTCTTCGACAGACGCTTGGCCTATCGCTGCCTACATTCCCACCTCGTCTTTTCTCCGCACCGTCCTACGCTACTTTGCTCTACCCCTCCGAACTCGCTGCCGTCGCGACGACACACCGACGCGCGCATGCTCTGACCGCCCTCAACAACCCAACAACCAGAAAAAAGCACATGTCAGGAGTCTGTTGCACAACCACGCTCCAAGGCCGTGATGCGACACGGACGGCACCAGGGCTGCCTCTCGTTCACCAGCTTCGTTTCCCGACTTTTCACCTAGCCCTCCGAATCACCATCGTCACCTTCGACCCAAATCCACCCTCGCCATCATGAACGACGTTTTCCTGAATCCTGTGCACCCTCTGCCCGCGATCCGGGTCAAGTCCTCCTCCCCCTCTGGCCCCTCGGCCTCGACCAAACCTGGCCGCCCTTCTTCCATCAAGAAACAACAGCCACCGACACCTCTAAATGCTGCCTTTGATTCAATATCCCGGGCCATCAAGGGCGCCAATAACCTTGTCTTGTCTCTTCGTGATGGACTGTCTGAGCTGGAACGGGAAAACAGGAGGAAAAAGGAAGAGCGCAGGCTTGTGCTCTCTATTCACATGAAGAATGTACGTCTGCTCTTCGTTCAGTCCCACACGTTGCACCAGCCTCAACCAGGTCCGCTAACAGATCATCCTTACGTAGGCGGAAAGCAGGAAACAATGGCAGGATGCCGCAGAAGAGCTCGACATCCTCGAGGAAAACGACCTTTGGAAACTCGACCCATATTCGGGAGATTACAACCCAGCCCTGATTGAGGCGCGACTGAAAGAACTCGACGATGCACGAACGAACTGCGACACTCGTGCCATGATGCACCTTGTTCGAACCGCCCTATGCAGAGACCTTGGCGGCATGGGGAACGTCGATCTATATAGACACTCCTACGTAGGCACCAAGAGCCTCATCGAACGTTACGTCGACTCGGCCATGCAGACGATCGACGCCCTAGTAGAAAAGAGCCAGTTCGCATTGCCCGAAGGCATGGGCCAGAGGGACATCCTCGAGAGTGTCCTGTACGCCCGCCAGAGTTTCGGGCGAAGTGCACTGCTCTTGAGTGGAGGCGGGACTCTGGGTATGTCCCATATCGGTGTTCTCAAGGCCCTCTTCGAAGTCAAACTGCTTCCGCGCATCATATCAGGTGCCTCAGCAGGTTCCATTGTGTCGGCCGTGATCTGTACGAGGACCGATGAAGAGATTCCTCGGCTCGTAAAGGAATTCCCCTATGGCGACCTGGCTGTCTTTGATGCTGAGGAGAACCCCGACGGCGTCTTTGACCACATGCGGAGATTGCTCACCGAGGGAAGCTGGTCCGATATAAAACACCTGACCCGCGTGATGCGTGGTTTGGTCGGAGATCTTACCTTTCAGGAAGCCTATAACCGCACTCGGCGCGTCCTCAATATTTGCGTCTCAACCGAATCCATGTACGAGCTGCCGCGTCTCCTAAACTACATCACGGCACCCAATGTCATGATCTGGTCCGCTGTAGCTGCATCATGCTCCGTACCCCTCGTCTTCAGCGCTGCGCCGCTGCTCGTAAAGGACCCCGATACCGGCGAACACATGCCCTGGAACCCGACACCGCAGCGATGGATCGACGGGTCTGTGGACAACGATTTGCCCATGACGAGGCTTGCAGAGATGTTCAACGTAAATCACTTCATTGTCTCTCAAGTGAACCCTCACGTTACCCCGTTTCTGGCTCGTGATGACCAGCTGGATCCCGATGATTTCGCGGCACGCCGGGGGTCCAGCCTGTCACCCAGCAAGCAAGAGCTTGACTGGGTCTACGCCCTCACTGCTCTTGCCAAAGATGAGGCATTGCATCGTTTGCATTTCCTTGCCGAGATTGGTGTCTTTCCGAATCTCGTCACTAAGCTTAGGAGCATTCTCAGCCAAAAGTATTCGGGCGACATCAACATTCTTCCAGAAGTAAATGTTCACGACATTCCGAAAATTCTCAGCAATCCGAGCCCCGAGTTCATGCTGCGAGCCTGTTTGATGGGCGAGCGTGCTGCGTGGCCGAAACTGAGCCGGATCCGCGATCGTTGTGCCATTGAGCTCGCGTTGGACAGGGCGGTCCATCGTTTGCGAGCCCGCGTCGTATTCTCGGATAGTCAAGTTGACTTGAGGAGGCTCACCACCGGCATCGCTTTGCCACCTCCTTGGCCCAAATCCATTGCCCTTCCAAAGCAGACATCTTCGGTAGCTCCCGCTCTGACGCTAGACACCGAAGTCGTGAAGAACAGGCAGCGTAGATGTTCCGGAAGCAGCGTGCAACTCATGGCGCATCACAGGCGTCTGATGGAGAACGTGCTTACAGACGAAGAGACGGAAGAGGAAGAACGACTAGAGATGCGGGCAAGGCATGGCCATGGTAGCTCCTCGCCTGTCATTGTTCGCAAACCACGCCTCAAGAGGGCGGCAAAGAGCCATTACAATGTTTCCCTGGTTAGAGGACCGATGACAAGCCCAATCAACCAGGCGCAACTTGAGGCCACAGAGTTCGACTTTGGGAAGCCTGTCACACCGCCACTGCACCGCTCACGAAAATCGGAATCCTCTCTGTTCCACGCCCGAAAACCGAGCAGCCTTGAGATGACACCGGCGAAAGAATTCGAGTTGGTAGCGCCACCATCGAGGGGCGAGGCAACCTCGCACACGGATGAAATGGAGACATCAGACCTTCACTCTTCTGACGGCGATGTAGAGTCACACACAGAAGACACAATGTCCGACCCGGACCCGTATGAGGGTAACTGGCTGCATGGGCTTGGGAATGAGTTGGAGACGACGCCCAAGAGCGACAAAGAGGTGCTTGAGGTGAGCAGTCGTGAACTGGTTCCAGTGGGCGACTCGTTGGACGGACTTTGGGATTGACTCGTAGACGGGAGGGTGAGCTCCTCGGACGAGGAAAAGAAAACAGAGAAGGGGAAAGAAACAGCCGAAGAATCGACTGAGGAGGACGATGTGCTCAGGTCCAATTGGATGAGCTGGGATTAGTTGGGTATTCTGGGAGCATCTGACGCATATTCGGATATTGGATCGGTCTTGCCTAGCATTGTTTGTTCTTGTGGACAGACGGGGGTGCTCAAACGCATAACACGGAGTTTCACACATCATGAGAATAGCATCAGAACATGGTAGAGGTTATGGAAGCCACACAGAGTGGTAGCATTGTACAAGACGCACTTGGCAACAGCTTGTTACTTGTTCCATATCATTTAAACTCCATTGGCGTCCTTGTGAAGGCTTGCCTTACGTGACATGACTGCTAAGTGTCGACGCATTTATGTCAAAATCCCACGAGGACGCAGCCAAACGAAATCAGATCCTCTTTCGTCCAGCCTTTCGAACCGAACGCCCAAGGCAGGCTATATGAGATCTAGTAAGGCTTGTACATCCCATACAACACACTCCTTGGCCTGAATCAATGCCAAAAACTCCGATTCTTACGGCACCTGCTTCTCAGCAGATTGTCCCGTAACAAGGCCCGTCTCATCATGATGGACAGTAGCCTTGCGCTCTCCTCCTCTCTCATGATACCCGGGTTCATCATCCCCGTCCAACTCATACAACGCAGGAAACGGCTCAACATCCCGGCGCAAGACATACTTCTTCGCATACCACGGCATCTTGGAAGCATAGTACCCAGCGTGGTCGCGACTCTTTACATCAAACACGCTATCGAGCTCCTCGAGCGTCAGGCCCTTTGTCTCTGGCAGGAAGAAGTACGCTACCACAAACCCGACGAGGTTCCAGCACGCGTACCACACAAACGCGCCCGTCACCCCAAACGAAGAAATCATCTGCGGCCAGGTGAAGCTGATGATGAAATTGAAGCCCCACGTCACCGCTGTGGCGGAGGACATGCCGATGTCGCGGATGTGTAGGGGGAAGGCTTCCGCGCTGTAGGTGAAGGGGACGGGGCCCGCGCCGGGGGAGTAGACTGCTGCGAAGAGGTATATCCCCGTCGCGACGCAGGCGAGGCGGCCTGTTCCCTCGGGGATGAAGAAGGAGAAGCCTGTGAAGAAGAGGCAGAGGGACATTAGGGGGAAGGTTACTAGCAAAAGATTGCGGCGGCCAAAGGTGTCGATTGTGTAGAAGGCTGGGAGGGCGAAGAGCCAGTTGATGAGGCCCATTCCCATTGAGGTGAGGAGGGCTGTTGAGCGGTCGAAGCCGGATGTTTCGAAGATGTTTGTGGAGTAGTACATCCTTGTTGGGTGTCAGTCCTGTATACTTCCTTTAGAGAGATGGGGTAGAAGATAATTACTCACATGGCGTTGATGCCTTGAAAAGAGGGAGAAGTGTCTGTTAGATGGATGCTCATGGTTGCTGAAGGAGGACGGGGGGAGGGAGAGGGTGCTTACCACAGAATTGTTGCATAAACATGACAAAATACGAAGACAGCGCAGCGCGCCTGTTTCTACGAACGGTGAAGAAGTCCTTCCAGTTGCGGCCGCTGCGGGCTCTCGTCTCGATTTCCAAAAGCTTGTGGGCGTAGTACATGTCCCGGGCCGCCTGGACTGGGTGGTGTCGTAGCCGGAGTGTCGATCGGAAGGCGTGTTGGTATTTGCCCTTCTCCATGTACCACCGTGGACTCTCTGGGCAGAAGTAGACCTAGGATTTGGTGAGTGGGTATGCCTCACTTGCAAGGATTGTTTCTCCGCTGTTGTAGTTGAAGTGGGAAAGGTAGAAAGGGGGAAGAAGTGCGGGTGTGGTAAATCTTGTAGCACATGCTGGGAAAGAAGTGGGATTACATGGAAAGACGTCAAAGATGACGGGTAAATGTACTTACCTGTACCATGACGATGAGGGGCGGCACGGAGGTACTAGCCAGCATCCAGCGCCATTGCGTGTTCGGTCCGAGGAAATCCGTGTTGGCGAAGGCGACGGATACGATGAAGCCCAAAGCGATGCCAAAGGCTGTCCACATCTGGATGAAAACACATGAGTTAGTTCCACAGCATACGGGATTTCTACCTTCACCAAGGTTCTGCTCACCTGCCACATCATCGTCAATGCACCGCGGATAGTCTTGGGCGTACTCTCAGCAGAGTACACGGGCGTGGTGCTGCTCTTCGCGCCGACTGCGAAACCGAGGAAGAAGCGTGCGATGAGGAGGTTGTACCAACTGTTCTGAGAGTTAGTGACTTCAGACCTACATAGTGGCTGGTTGGATATGCGTGTGTGTATGTGTGTCCACTTACCTGTCTGCGGCAGCCATCCAGAAGCCGGTGACCACGGACATGAAGCACGAGATAAAAATTGTACCGCGGCGGCCGGTGTATTTGTTCAAGATGGGCGAGCTCCAGCACCCGACGAGGGCGGAGCAGAGGTAAGGCGCGCCGTTGACGAGTCCCTGCATTGTTGGGTCGTCTTGGAGACCAAACGTCTCGTAGTAGAATTCCTGGGCACAGTCATTAGATCATCAGCAAATGTTCATGGAGAAGGGGATGGATACCTGGGCGCCATTGACGGCTGTCTGATCCATGCCCTGAACTGCAACGATTGCAACATTAGCAGCTTTTCAACTTCCTATCTCGGAGTCTCCCCATACCAATAGCCGAGCCCGCACAAAGAGCACACAAGAAGTAGAGCGACATAGGCTGATGCCAACGATGCGAGACCTCCTTCCGCAGAACAGCCTTCTCTTCTTCGTCGAGAGCGGCTACAGACTCGAAGCCGTCGGGGCGGTTAATCACCTGCGCGACCAGAGCGCCCTTGCGAAAGACCTCGCGGTGTTCCTGCAGGCCCTTTGTCTCGGTGAAGGTGTCTGCGTCTTTGAGGATCTCATCGTGCGTGAGGCTGACGAGCGGGTTGCGGAGGAGGGCGGCGGTCGAGGCGCGGCCTCCTCCGCCGGTGGGAGTGGAGGTGTTTTTGGTGTTGTTGGGACCGGAGCCGGGGCTATCGCCGGCGTCGCTGCCGGAGGTTCGGGAGGAGGGAGTGGTTTCGGGGACGGGAGGGGCTTCTGTATCGACCTTTGGGGGAGGCATTCTGTTTGTGCCAGCCAAGGGCGTCTGTCAATGTGCTTATGTTCGGAATTGTGCCTATCTGTCGAGTGTATATAAAGATAACCTTGAGATTACGACTTTTGGGGATGGCATGAACGGAAGAAGACGAAATCTGGGGGAGAAAGATAGGCCTCGAGGGGCAGAAGCGGACCTCTTGATATTTGAGGAGGTTAAATAGTCTGGAGACGTCAGCTTATTTGCAAGCAAGGCGCCCCTGTGGGCCTCTGGACTCCGGAGGATTCAAGAAAGAAGGCGGAAACTTTGTCGTTGGACTTCATGGTGGCATATCTCTGGCCAACGAGCCAATATTAAGGCAGACTGGTCATGGAGGAGTGGGTGCGTTCCAAGACTAAAATATGGGGAATAGAGTCTCGGCCTCGAGGCGGGCTGCGTATGTCCAAGAGGTTTTCAGTGGGGAACGATGCGCCTTCTGGTGTGACTGGAAGAGATATTGGTGCTACATGTCGGGCTGGAGAGGTTACGAGTAGGCCGTGGGGGCGAATTCCGTCTATGAATCCAGGTCGAACGTGGGCCGGTTATCTGTTTCCCCGGCGTGTCCCCTTCATTTGGATGCGAGTTGGATCTCATTAAGTTTGAATCAAGGGCTTCGTTCCTGGGATGGGATCTTGACATTACTGTCAGTTCTTTTGAGCCTATCGCAAGAGTGCAAGTCGTCTTTGAAGCGGAGGTTGACAAGAAGAATATTGGTTATAATTAGGTTCAAGTGGCGCATGATGTCTACGGCGAACAGATATTCCACCGGCCATGGTTCGCAAAGGGTAGATGAGGAGAATGTCAGCCGTGCTAGAGGTAGCACGTCGACCCGCGCGCTCATTGTCGATAAAAGCCTCCACGGCTGTACAGTACAAACATTCGCCGAATAGAGAGAGACAAGGACGTGGGCGAATTGTCGGATGACGATCGGCGATGCAGCCAAGCGGCCCGTAATCCTCGGCGGCGGGGCACAAAATCGTCCACGGAGACGGACAGAGGCTAGATTTTCGGCCGGGGCGCCCATGGGGGTTTCTCAGTCTCGGCGTGCGGCGCGGCATTCGTCACACACGGCATGGCAGACAGGGGTTCAGGAGCATTTTCCACGTTTGCTTCGCATGCTCGCCGTGTCGAAACCCGAATTTTGGCGAGAGGCAGATGAGAAAGCAGTTCTTGGCCGTGTATGACTTCATACCAAGGCTTGATTAGAGTATTGGCCTGGATCCTCTACGCGCTGCCGAGAGGACAATTTCCGTTGGTTTGGCAGTGGACCAGGCAGCATCTCATTATGATGGGAGGAGGCGCCGTGAGGTGGGCAAGGCTGTTCTCTGATGTGGTTTAGAGATCTCCTCTCTCAACATCTTCGTCTAGTTTCCTAAACGTTTGATGGAGTGCATTTAGTCGCAGCTCTCGCGCATTATCCGCGCTCGCTCTCAAGTTCTGTTGACAACTGGTTGTCTAGTTTAAGTGAGTAAAATGACAACGACTATTGGGCTTTTGTCAGATTTCCTTGAAAATGAACAGCAGCATGTCGAGGTAACATGTTGCAGAGCAAGAGCTGTTTATTAGATTATATATAAGCCCGGGCCTGCTCCCTCCCAATCATCCATTCGTGTCTATTGGCCATGCTGTCTCGCCTTCCTACATAATCTAGGGTACAAAGGATCGACCAAATCTAATCACAAAAGCTTCATACTTCTCATGTAAGTGTACTCGGCTCAGCACTCTAGTCCACATCGTCGGCATTGGTCTCCTCCGCCTCATGCGCAGCGGGACCCATCTTCTTCCTAGCCTCCTCAAGCGCCTTGGCCTCGTCGTGAGGCTCGTGGTCGTCCTTGGCCGGCGGCGGTAGTGCACCAGTCTTGACGCCCCTGGCACTGGTCTTCAGCGTGCCGTCTTCGTTCACGTCGTCCTTGAGGTGGATCTCGAAGAGGACGACGAGGTAGACGTCGCCGGTGGTCTTGTTCCGGAGAACGTATCTAAGCGTATGTGAGCGCTTAGGCTCCCCCTCCCTGCTGCTGGTAAGAATGACATGAAAAGAAAACAGGAGAGCATTATTGAGCCGTGCTTTGATAAGCCACCTCAGGGTCTTCGTGTTGCTATTACATCATTTTCCCTCCCAAGGTCAATAGCACAAGTCGGAAATGACGGCCATGGCGCGAGATGGGAATAATATTACGGAAACAGTTCGACTCGCAGAGAAGCAAAGAACAGGTTTTAAAGATAGGAAAAGGGAGGAGCAGAAACTCACCGAAGGCCTTGTCCGTCCCAGTACTTCATGATGGCAAGTTGGTAACCGGGCAAGCGCAACGCCAGGTTGGCAAAGTCGAGGTAGGCATTGAAAAAGTCCAAACCGTACGTCTTGCCGTACTCAAACAGCCAGTTCTCCTTGCTGTCCTTGCGAAGTGCCCACTTCATGCGCTCCTTGGACGTGGCCGGCGCGCCAATCTTCTCTCGTGCTTCGAGGCCGGCCTCGTCGCCTCCCTCCTCGAACCATAGCCCGCCCTTTTCTTCGTCGTGGACGCCAGAACCAACGTGGATGGTGTTGAAGGAGCTTAGCGCGGGGCCGTAGAGATGAGGGACATCGGCGTAGGCGTCGCCGTCCAGACCGGGGTCGATCCACCACTTTACAATGTTGAGTGCTGTGTTGAAGCCCGGTGGGAGACGGTCGCGGATGGGGTGGTCAAAGTCGTTGCCGAATTGCAGGTCCTCGGCCGATATACCGTCCGCCGATGAGGAGGCATTTGCAGGCTTCTTGGGCGTAAAGCGGAAAGAGATACTGTACTGGTCTTTATTGGTGGCGTGCGGTTCCTCAGAGAAGTAGGGTGAGGTAGAGGGCGAGTTGCGAGGGAGACCGGCGTAGTTTTGTATCCTGACGTTGAGCTCAATGTCGGCGAGGGCGCTGGTGATCTTTGTGGGCTTGGCCTGGTTGACGGGGACTTCTGTTTGACAGTCCAGATCATAGCCTGGTCCTGCAGTCACACGGAGGATGTATTTATCGGCCATTGTGAGGTCTACTGTGTGACGTATGTGTATGTTTCTTCACGGTATATGAGCTGTACTCTAGAGTCAGTCGATGCAGAGCGATGCAGGTTTATTGAGCTCAGCCGACAAGAGGCTGGCGAGAAAAGAAGTGAAAGAAGATGATGTCGTGATAATATTGAGGTAATAGTCATGAAACTGCTTAGAGGTGCAGCTAGAGAGGTTGTCTTTTGAAAGCGACGACGTAGTAATTGCAGTGAAGGAGGCTTAACAGACTGACATGGGAAGAGCTGCTTTGACAGTGCCAAGACGGGTTGGGGTGGACTCGACTGGGATGTACTTCCGTTAAGGCTGAAGGAAATTGGAGAGAGGAAAAGAGAGAGAGAGAGCAATGACGTTGAGATGAGAGACTAAAAAGCATAGCGCTTGGCTTTGCTGCATCACTTACCTCAGCTTCTTCAGTCGCGATTGGCAAACTAGGTGATTAGCATGTGAACCGCTTGGAGGAGCGTCGTTTCTAATTATTCTCCTTCCACTTGTTTGATGTTGATCTACTTGTGTATGGGCCTGGAAACAGGATGAAAAGTTTCACCATCACTTGTGCTTGCATAAAAGAATACCTGGACGGCCAATTCAATTAACGGGGTATGTATCGGGAAGTCCGAGTTAGTGAGTTATCCCCGCTTCCTTCTTCCTCCTTTCCCACTTACAAGAACAACTACAAGCACTCGACGCTATACTAAAGACCTCATATCATCTCTCATCCTTGTGGCCATCGGATTTTCTTGAGATCTCGGAGCCTATATCGAACTCATTGCAGGTAGACGAGAAGGGCCTCGCTGGCTTTCACACTGAACGTAGCCTGGCCACCCGAGACCGTCGTCGTCTCAAACGTCTCCGTCCCACCAATCGTGCAAGTGCCATTGTTGAAGAACTGCTGTCCAAAGGACGCATTTCCGCCGCGATCCTGCCTCGCCTCCGCGCTGGCAGCAGTCACGCGCTTACTCCGAACCCGGCCCGCCGCCGTCGTCAGCCCACTGAGTACAAACGACTCGGTTCCCCGAGTCCCCGTGCCGCTGTAGTAGTTGGAGTTGTACAGCAGAGCGCGCAGCGGCGCGCCGGTTGCGTCGTAGGTGACGTAGGCAGCCAGGGCAGATTTCCCGTCGTCGAGGGCGGCCAGATGCTTTCCCCCGGCCATGAAGGCCGTTGCGGCGTAGGCGCCGACGTACGGGTTGCCGTTGGAATAGCGGCCGAAGAAGGCGTAGGGGTTGTTGCCGATCGTGCCGTGGTGGAAGTAGACTCTGCTGACTTTGGACATTGCCAGGCGGACGGTGTAGTCCATGACCCAGAGGGCTGCGCCAAAGGTTGGGGATACGTTGGCTGCGCCGCCTCCCGCGACTTTATTCGGTCGTTAGCTTCAGTTCCGTAGGAGACCAAAAGTGTGAGAGTGTCTATGCAACTTACCAGAGTTTGTCTCTCCAAATACGTAAGGCTTGTTGACTGCGAGCGCACTAGCAATGTCTTTGTCGAACCTGGTCACGTCAGTCAAGGAGCCTGTCAGGTGGTAATACGCGACCAACTTACAAGTGAACATTGCTTGAGATGCTCGAATGAGACATTAAACCAGTCACAGACCCTCCGGGGTAGTTGTGATGTGCGTATGTCTTCACATACTCTCTGACCGTCGCGTTCCCGCTGGCGATGAGCTCCTCAGCTCCCCAAGTCGGAGGAAGAGAGTTGGAGTTGCCGGCTTGGATAATGTTCTTCTTGCCAATGGCATTGCCGACAGTGATATCCCAGTGGTTCTGCGACGCAGCATCCAGCGCGGGACTCCACCCTCCCGCAGCAATGGGCTGGACTCCCGACCAATCTACAAACCAAAGTTCAGTTTGGCTTCGTAATAAGAAAAGGCTTGGCAATTTTCACTTACACTCGGGCTCATTGCCGACCTCAATGGCATAGAGATTCTTCATCTCCTGCACAGCAACCTTGGCAGCCGCAATAGTGTT